ATTCCGCTGTATATTCTTCCAGTAGAATTTTTAATTTCCTGAATTTCTCTTTGAGTCTGTTTTATTGAATCCGGTTCTTTTCTACATTGGACATTCATAGTTTCCATGTTTTTTCTAAGCTCCTCTATTTTTCAATCTGTATTCACTCTAGATTCACTGATCATTTCCTTCATTATGGTTGTCATTTCTTTAATTATCTCTTTTAACTTTGTCAAGAGATTTATTCACCTGTTTTTTTACTTTGGCTGCTATCATTCCATAAAATTCAGCTTGGTGGTTTTTAATTTCTTTCTTCCTTAGTGTCTCCTTGACACTTGCTCTGTGTGAATGGGGTTTATGTGTCATACTTTGTTTCTGTTTGCACTGAAGCTTATAAATTGTTTATGGTAGTTAACTTTATTACTCATATTGAGAACTCTTTAGGAAATTACTTTTCAGAGATGTCTTCAAGGCTTAACTCACTTTTGGTTTTTGAGTCTGTCCCAGGTTCCTATCTCTTCAACTTTTTAGGGATGTAAGGTTGCTGCTTATGTGGCCTAGTGCCTAGTTTTTCTATTGGGTTATAGTACTGTTTATGGCTCCCCTGAGCAATCTACGTACTCACACACAAAGATCACGACTCTTGTCACTTTAAGAAAGTAGTTGAGTCAGTAATAACAACAGTATCAAGCGCAGCCTGAAAAATAATGAACTATGATAACTACTAATTTGTCAATTTTAACCATGGGAACAAGGTTCTGAAGGTCTCCGGCAGGGTTCTGAGAAAGGAGGCTGAGCTGTGTTGAATAAAATCGGTGTGAACATAAATCTCATGACCCTTGGTTAGTCTGCCATTAGAAAAAGGTTTTTACAGACTCCTGGCTAAAGATGCCTTTGAAACCTCCATGGGGAACTCTTCCAATCTTCACCAGGTAAGCATTGATCAGTTGTTTCTCAAGGAAGAAGTCACAGTAAATGCATTAAATAGTAAACCCCAAGGAGAAACTACACTCTCCAATCTGTGCTTCTTCTCCACCACCTGTGACTGATGGTGGGGTAGAGCTGTGGCTGAAGGGCAGGGTTTGGTGCTGGACTGCTTGGGTTTAAACCTTTCTTTGCCTTGTCCAAACTAAATTACTGAAGACAAATTATTAACCTTCCTTCAAATCCGGAACTTGCTCAGCCCTGTGGGGCTGGGTTTCCAATGACAGTAGAGCATCCAGGAAGCTTGGCTCGTCTAGCAGAAGCCGGATTCCTAATCCCACACACACATCCACAGCCTCGCCCCTTCTCCCTAGCTTTGGAGGAGAGAACTTTAGTCTGAGAGAGGCTTGGCTTATTCTTGAGCAGGGAGCCCACATTCACTGCCACCCCAGCTGTTTGCTCAGGGTCAAGGATAGTACCTGACCCATAACACCTAACCACTGGCTGGTTACTGATTTGTGGACAACTCTAGTATGAAAAATAGTGCTCACACAGGCAGGTTGGGAGGTCTAAGGACAGGTCAGTCTGACTCTTTAGCTTGTGTGATGGTTAATTTTATGTGTTAATGGCCTGGTAACTCCTCTCTCTGCCTAGTTGGGATAGGACACCCATCTCCTGCCATGATGCTCATGGTTCTTAGACATGCAGACTTTAATCTGTACCACTGACTCTCCTGTTATCTGGCCTTTGAACACCACCATCACCTTTTCTGGGTTTCTAGCTTAGAGATAACAAACTGTGGGAGTTCTAAGCCTCTGTTATCATGTGAGGCAGTTCTTTATATCATTCCATATCCAGCTATTGGTCTCCTATTGGTTTTTCTAGAGAACCCTAATATAGCTTGGTAATTGTCTTAGTTACTTCCTTTGGATGGGGCAAATACCCAATGCTGGCAATTTAAAGGAGAAGAGGTTTACTCTGACCCATGATTATCATCCGTGGCCAGCTGGCTCTAAAGCCAAAGCAGCCTGGTAAATCCCAGTGAAGGAAAGCAGCTCACATCGTGGCGGCCTGAATACAAAGAGACTCAGGAGCTCATGTCTAGACTCCTCCCAAAGCCTCAGCAGTCACAGGCGAGGACTTTTCAGGTCTACAGTGTGTGTGCTGGTGATTACTAAATCAGTCCACTGATTGGTTTAACACCGCCCTGATCCCGGTAGCTCGGATACAAGGGACAGGTCTGTCTTGTCCCTGCCTGCTTGCTTTTTCTGTCTTCTGCTTTCCATGAACCCGTTCTCCTCTGTGGTCCTCCTCCCTCAGGCCACCTTGCCTTGGAGCCAGCTGACTGTGGAATCTTTCCCTCTTTAACTCTGGGTGTCAGGCATTTTGTCTCAGCAGTGAGACAGAAAATAAGACAGGAGTTATATCCTCCCAGGTCATGGCCCCCACCGAGTGACCCACCTTTTCTAGCAGCAAGCCAGCACCCTCATAATTCGGTCCCTTTCCCAAAGCCCCGTATATGAGAGCGTGAGGACTCAAGAGGACACACGACACTTTACCGCCTCATGCTTGCTCTGGGGCACTTGGTCATTGACTGCAAAGCCTGTGGCAACAGACACATGCTTTTTTTTTTTTTAAGTTTATTTTCCCTGCTAAACATAGGTGGTTAAATCCATGCACGTTACAAACATGAGTTTGAACTGCTTCCCCAGGACTCATCTTCCCTGCTGCCAGAGAGCTACACATTCCCATTGCCTGGGTCTCTTTTTGGCCATTGGAAGGACCCCGTGATGCCCCCCAAGCCCGATACTGCTGCGATCCTGTCTTTCCTTCTCCAGACAGATGTCCTTCCCAGAATCAGACTTTTCAGCTGGTGGCCAAGCCTTGTGAGGTCACACGTGGCAGTAAAAGAAAGCTACAGCTAACTTTTCCCATGTCCCACTTTCTGATTTGCTTCCTTTTTCCGATAGGAGGGCAGTGATTCCTTTGACAAAGCAGGGATATAAATAGCAGCCCAGATGGACAGGCGGGAGGGGAGCAGAGCTCTTTGGACAACCCTGTTAGAAGTCACGGCCAAGTCTTTTTATGGCCTTTTCCATAATCTAGGAAAATTATCACTGAATTTTTGGTAGGACAAGTGAGTTAGACTGGATTCACTGAAGGAGCCTGGAATGGTCAGAAATTTTGCTCAAAAACATTTATGTCATTTCATCTATGACACCAGAAGTAATGCCAACAAAGAAAGGAACAATGATGAGGTTTTAGTTCCTGCCCAGGGGACTTTCCCATTCACCATCGAGCTGGAAAACGTTGGACACATTTGTTCACAAGACTGACCACATCCCTGAACTCAGGCTGAATATTAAAGCAATCGTTAGCTTCAAATTCAATGATGAATTCCAAGTTAGAGGGAAACGGGCAGCCGGAAATTTCTACAAATTAATGAAACATTATTTATATAGCAACTTATTGCTTAATAGATTGAGGCATTGTAAGCACAGAAATATGCAGCTTCACTCCAAGCTCACAGTGAAGTATAATCAAATAGCCTAAAAATCCAAGCCGTCTTCACTTAGAGAAGGGAGAGACAGTTCTGGGCCAATGGGCAGACGTTGGGCCGAGTCTCCATGGAGCGTACAGTTCCTGTGTTATAAGTTCATGTGTTATAAGTTTAATTCTCAAAGTCACAGCTCGGTGTGGTGTTGCATGCCTGTAATACCCGCCCTTGAGAGCCTGAGGCAGGAGGATTGCTGGTGAGTTTGAAGCCAGCCTGAGCTACATAAGTGAGTTCAAGGCCAGAGAGATCATGTCTCAAAACACAAAATAAAAAACAAACAAAAAACTTCCCATCAAACAGAACCAAAACTACAGCAAAACCCCAAGTCAAAGTCATACGGTAGTGGTATCTGGAGATGGGCTCTTTAGGAGGTAGATAAGGGCAGGGAAGGTGGGACTCGCATGATGGATGGCATTCATGGCTTTCTAAAGCAAGTCAGACACCTCCGCTACCACTCTCGCTCTGTCTCCCCAGATGATGCTCTGCCATGCTGTGATGCAGCACAAAGGTCCTCAGCAGACACGCGGACCCCACTCAGCCTCCCCTGCTCCCAGACCAGGGGTCACACAGACCTCTCCTTTTCGGGTAGTAGTCCTGGGATTAAACTCAGGGCCTTTGCACTGAGCCACATTCCCAGTTCTTGTTTACCTCTTGCTTTAGCCTCCCAGAGTGCTACAATTATACCCAGGTACGTCTATCTACCTTTACGATGTGTATACTGATAGCCTGGTCATGGATGTCTGCAGATCATGCTCCGATCATACAGGGGCCCAGAACCTCAGGGCAGGAACCACCCTGCCGAATCCCAAACAATGCTAACTACGGGAGAACTCACTGAAATGCAGACACACTGGCCATTCATAAAATGCCGTGTGTGGGTACGGCCTGAATAGTCCAAGATGGTGTAGGCCATCAGATGTCAAGTGAGTAAGACCTGGCATCTCCTGGACAGTGTTTCCTCAGAGTCTGAGAGGGCAGTGAGCTGCTGTCCTGGGTCAGTATGAGTTGAGCCCTTAGCAGAGACTGTGTTCTCAGGAGAAAAAGGCTGGGGCAGTGGAGTTTCCTTGGGAGAAGTGAAGATCCTTGTCCTGTCCAGTGGGCTGGTCTGGTGGTCTAAAACACTTAATGGTTGTTTGCAGGGGATGCTTGCAGGGTCACTTGTCACCTGCTGAACCAGCACAGTGTCTTGCAGTCAGAATACACTGGCTGCCAGCTAAAATTTATATTCACTCTGCTTCTTCAATCTTGACACAACTTCTCCATTTAACACTGATCCTGCATGGCATTTAGTCCCCTATGATGTGCATTTGTACAGCTCGGCAGCCTCCAGTGAGGGCCACGAAGGGAGACCTTCCACAGAGCCTGAGCTGTGGCGAGGCTGCTGTGGGTGGAGGGGAAGAGAGCAGCCTGGACCTCAGCCCCTCGTGGTGGATGAGATAAAAGGAGACACAGGTGTACATGATGCTGCTTGGAAACCAGACTCGGTAAACTTGGCACTTTGAAAAACAGTAATAACAAATGTCACTGGGAGAAAGAATCATTAGCAGACAAACAAAATATATTTATTAGAAATATTACATAGTCATATATCTTATACTTTCATGTTAATAGTTAAATATATCTATGTTTGCATGTCATTTCCTGACAGTGCTTGGTGCAATCTAGTGTGCTCTTTATAGAAACGAGGCCACAGATGTATCAACTGCATTCAACTAATGTAGTTAAAATTAGTGAGCTACTCAAGATGTTAAAGATTCAGCGAAACTCTTAACCTGGGTGAGAATACTGAAACTCCCAGGAACTTAGGCAAACAGATATTAAAAGTACTGTTTTATTTTGGTCTTTTTGAGACAAAGTTTCATTGTGCAGTCCAGGCTGGCCTCAAACTCGCAGTGATCCTCCTGCCTCAGCCTCCCGAGTGCTGGGGTTACAGGAATGTTGCCACCATGCTTGGCTAAAAGTACTTTCTAAAAGGCGGAGAGATTGTATATTTTACTGCATCTCAAAATGGCACTGGAACCACGGCATGGTAAGAACTAGCTGCAGGATGTAGCAGCAGCGGGGTTTGGCACAGCTGCCCCTGGGAGCTGGGAATGGGGAGGGCAGAGACTCAGAGGCTCAGCTGACATCAACGGGTAGCAGGAAACAGAACACTTTGAGACTTTTGGCAGATACTTTGGGACTTTTTTCTTTGAGATGGAGTCTGACTATGTACTCAATCTGTTGCCAAATTCCTGGGCTTAAGTGACCCCCCCCCGCTTCAGCCTCCTGAGGAGCTAGGACTACAGATGTGTGTTACCAGGCTCCACAGGACATGTTGTTCAGTCACAGCATTTAATTTGGAGATTCTTACAAAAACTACAAATCAACAACTGAAGAAGAACAATAACAACAACAACAACAACAAAAGGCCAACGTTGTTTTTGCAGTGAGAAAAGGCCAGGCAGAAAGAAGTTCCTCAGAGTACTGCTGCTCAGAATACCTCACCCATCAGCCACCAAGAGTAAATCCATGAAGCAACTCAACTGCAAAACACCAAGAATTCGCCTAAAATCCTAACTCCTCAGGATCTCCCATCTCACAGCTGTTTTTGTATAAATATTACATATTAAAAATGTATCTGCAGAACTATCAGATAATTTTAGTAAGTATCGGCAGAACAGAGAAGGGAAGACACATACACAACTATTATGGCCTTTGAAAACCCAGGACAGACACTGCGGATGAATGATACAATTAACTCAGTAGAAGTAGAGAAAATGTAAGAGAGCTCAGTACTTTGTTTTTTCAGTTTACTGATTTTCCACATTTGGTTTTGTGCTCTGAGCTCTCCCCAGATCCCACACTTCCAAGGCCAGCTGGTTGGCACCTCACCTCGGGCGCAGGTGGTGCAGGAGGGCCTGGCTCCTCACCCCATCCCAACACCCTCACACCCAAACTCCCACAGCGCCTGTTTCTGTGACAGGACACAACATTCCTCTTCTACATCTCCTGGCAGAGAATGGCAGCCAAGGAGCCTCCTTGAGTGATAAGAACAAACTGAGCATGGCCTTTTGTTGATAGGACATTTCTTTCCTTCCTTTCAACCTAAATGAACAGGGTACAGATAAAGCGGACTGGGTCTGGCCGGCCTTTAACACTGTGGGTTTGTACTGGAGAGGGTACCTGAGGGGAAGCTATGTCCAGCACAGAGGCCTCTATTTCCATGGTTCCATCTAGACCCTCTGCATGTTACCACTGAAAACAAGCATCGGCCAAGCGAAATACCCTTCAGGGAAACCCTCAGTCTCTACTGCCTTGCTCACACAAAACCCAGGGAGATGGTGGTAAACCTATGTCCTATGGCACATATCTTATTGTTTTTCTTTTAAAACAAAAGATGTTAATGTATGAGTTACTTTTTCTAAGCTAAAACTAGTATTCCTGTTTAATTGCAGTTGGCAGTTTGCGTTGCAGTTTGAGCACTCGTCTCTAAAAGGTTCACCATCGCTGGCCTAGGATAATTCCAGTTTAAACACAATCACTGGCTGATTAACCCAGTGACTTGGAACAGTACTTCTTCCTACCTGGGCAAAGCTGAAGCTTGGAGACGGTGAAGATACAGCATCAGTTATGTCAACAAAAGACAGGTACAGGAAGCAACAGGTAGCACAGGTATCATGTGGATACATTCATCAGGAAGGAACAAGTTACCTTTGTTCCAACTGAGCCTCAGTTTCTACCTGAAAGCCCAGGGGCCAGTTATGTAACTAACTCTGGTCCCGAGAGCTGCTCAGGAGCTCCTGCTGCTCCAGTGCCACTGAACCGCCCATGAAAGGTGCGGTCCCCTCTGTGCGGCTGTAGAGTCGCAGGGCTCTGCCCATGCACAGACTGTGTAGAGTACATCGGGCTTCTTGTTTCCGATACTGACTCACTGAACTGGGCAGGTTGGGCGTGTGGGTTCCAGAAGCTCCCCAGGGGATCAGACACTGAGCCATAGCTGCCAACCACAGACACGGCTGGGAGGCGGAGGCTCTCGTCCTGCACCAGTTGAGGCAGCTTGAGAGTTGGCTGGCCTGACCAGCAGGGCCCCACTGCTACCTCTGCCAAGAGCCAGCCTGGAGAAGAGAACAGAGCCCATGTGGTTCCCAGGGCAGGGTTCAACCTATGGCCCTTGGAACCTGGCTCTGAACGTGTGGCTCAGATCAGCAATAAGAAATTCACTTTAAATAAATTTTGGCAGCAACTATAAACCTACGGGACTTGCACACTGACCCTTTGTCAGACAGGCACAAACACAGTGCTACTCAGCACGTGAAAAAGCAGGTGGTGGCATTTACAGCTGCCTGTGACTAGCATCTTCACCTGCTATAAACGCACACTTCTTTGTCCAAGAATACCAGAGATCTACTGTACAGACACCGGGGCCCAGCACTTTGAGGAGGGTCCTGCTGCTACTCAGGAAACTGGTGGAATTTTAGGAAAGTTGTGTTGTTATAAATGGAGCCATCCTTGCCTACACTAAAGGCTTTTTTTGGCCATGCAAATGTGAAAGACCAAATGAAGTACCAAAACTTAAATTTGTATACAGCTGAAGTACTGTTTAGATGTGCTGTCTGCCTGGAATACCAAGAGATACACATTCTTAACCTTCCCCAGGCTTCCACCAGAGGCAACTGTGCAAATCAGTGAAGATCACAACAGACACCGGCCGTTTCACACACATACAAGTGGCCTTCGGTCAAGGTCTGCGTGTTGAACAAATGTGTGTGGGTGTGAACGGGAAGCTGAGTAAGTGCGAGGAGGAAAGTCACTGCGGACAGTTGCCGTGGTGGCACTTCTGACCATGAGCCACTCGGCACACACTTCCTCGGCTGGGGTGGCCCACAGGGAGCCTCCAGCAAGGAGCTGGGGCTTCTGTGCACATCCAAAGAACCAACTAAGAGACTGTGGGATCTAGAAATGTAATCAAGTTCTAATGAATGTTAAAATTGTTACTTAGAACTTGATGGTAGTTCCCCCAAATGGCAAGGCCAAGGTGTTTCCAGGCTGCTCTGAGTAAAGGATTTGTTGTATTTTGTGGGGTATGGGGTTTTTGGGGAGTAGGGTGGGAAGACAAGGGCAAAGTTTTGATAAAGGAGAAAGCTACATTTTTTTTTAGTGAAAAAACAAACAAAAAAGCCTAGTTCAGAGGTGCTGTTTGTCATGAATCTGTGCAGACTATGCATCAAGTCACCAAACAGGATTGACGATGTTGTCCTGGGTTCTCACAGAAATGAACCTGGAAATGGGATCTTGATCTAGAAGGAGGGTGGCATCTTCTATGGAACCTTCCAGAAGAGCAAAGATCCCCTAATTTATACTCCAATTGCATTTGCTTTTGAGATAGGGACACGGTGGAACTCGGCTGTTTCTTGAGTGTTGATCCACTTGGCTTTGGCCTTCCTTGGAAATCCAGACGGCTGGGCAGTGGGCAGAGCTGGGCCACTGGACAGTGACCAGGCGCTTCCAGGACAGACTGCAGGCAGCAGTGGCTGATGAGATGGTTTACGTCTCAAAGTACTTGTAGATCTGGGCCACATACTGCATCACACTCTGCCAGTCAGGCCGGTCTGTGTACAGCATCTCACTGAGCTCCTGCAGGGAAAGGGACAGGTCACAAAGGAGACATCATCGGGCTTCTCTGGAGACGCTCCACCTACACAGACAGGAGGTGGAGGCAAACACAGCTGGTACTGAATGTGCCATATTACAGAGAATACTTGCCAGCCTATTTGTTTGGGAAGCATTGTCCCTTTTGAAAGACACAGACATGATTGACCTCATGTTGCTTTCATCTTTATGACAGCATTAAAAAAGTTTTTAAAAAAAGTTGTACACACACACACACACAAAATAAATAAAAAAGTTTTACACAGAGAGTCACCCATAATTTCACTAGCAGAAAACTTGCTTCTATTTTTCTAAATTAAATGTGAGTAAATCAGCGTTGGATTTCTCAGATTTTCATCCCAGGGGGCACAAGTTCGTGAACTCTCTGCTTCCTTACTGGACGATTTCAAGGCATGGCTTCCATGCCACCGCACTGCTTCAGTGGCCACCACGTTAGTGGTCGCATGCTGTCTGAGGGAGCCGCTGTCTGGCACTGATGTGACGTGCAGTTTGTAGTTTGTTCTCTTCTTCACCATTACAGACTTTTCACTAAGCATCTCCTGGAGCCTTGCTTCTGGTGACTTAGTCCCTTAAGAGAAATCCCTAGGAATGAGGCCACTGTACCTTAACTAGCCTTAACTATCGCCATTTAATGTGTGATTTTCCTTTTGCTCATTTAATAGTTCTCTTTGCTGTTTATTTTTGCTTTTTCATTTTTTCTTTTTCTTTGCTAATTCTACAATCAAGCCTGCACCAAACAAACATCAGATAAGATGCCAAAAACTGACAGGAAATAAGGCTGGGCTCCTTGAAAAGACCTCAGCCAAGCTTTTTGGAAATCTGTGCCACTGAACATCATGTTTAATAATTAACTTTGGGATTGAATTTGGATTCTTTTGTGGTCGCAAGAGAACAGTAGCAAAGAACCCTGGCGGAAACCCAGAAGTCAAGAAGCAGCGGAATAATAATGCTGAACTGAGCACATCTGTTCCTGGGCGGTGACACAGGTAGCTGAGCTGTTAGCAAGTCATTTATCTCCTGGTTTAACAGTATCTGACGGCATATTCTACCGTTCTGCTCTGCGGTCATGCTAAAAAATCACCGGCTTATTGTTATTCATGGGGAGCGGGTAGAAAAGGAGCAAACAGAACACCATATACAGATATGCCTCAGAACAGCTGTGAAGGAAAAACCTCAAACTGTTATCAATCACTAGTCCCAGAGGGCTCTTTCCTCTACAGCACTGTAGGGGAGCCCTGTGCAGACCGATACACAGCAAGCTAGAATTAGTACAAGGCAGCTGCTAATGACATCAGGGAAAAAGAAGTGATAAGACTGAGTCTGCTTATTCAGAGGCAGCTAAACTCTGGGTAAGGAAGGGGAAATCTGTGTGTTCAAGAGAGATGGCAAACTTTCTATTGAGGAAGGGTGTATGTGTCTTCAATTGCTGAATTTGGAAGTCCAATCAATATTCATAGTTTCACTCAAGACTTTGCAACAAAAGGAAAAAATATTTTGGTACATATTAACCTTTGAAAATTTTTGAAGAAATAATCTTTCACATTTCTGAGAAAAGTACATTACATTAGTAAAATCTTATAATGCATGCCATTTGATGCCTGACTAGTTAGAAATCTCCATATGACTTCATAGGTGAATTCTACCAAATACTTAAGGAAAAATATAATACCAATTCTATGCAATTTCTTCCAAAAAATAGAAGAGGAGAAAATACTTCACAACTCATTTTAGGAGGGCACGATCACTCAAACAGCAGAACAAGACATACAAGAAAATTACAGATAGGTTTCAGAGACACAAAAAAATTAACAAACAGTACAAACATTAACAAGTTGATTCCATTGATATATAAATGTATAATACACATCATGATCAAGGGAGGCTCATACCAGGAACGGGAAGCTAGTTCAATATTTGCAAACCAATCTAATCCATCATACTGACTAAATAGCAAAACAATATGATCACATCAACAGATGAAAAAATATTACACAAAATACAAAAACCATTCATAATAAAAACTTCTTTTATCTAATAAGAGACATACAAAAGGTTAATAGCTGACATCATATTTAATTGTAAAAGAGACTGTTTCCCTAAGATCAGGAATAAAGCAAAGATATCTATCATTTGCCCTATTCAACATATTACTGAAAGTTCTAGCTAATGCAATAAGGCATAAAAAAGAAATAAAAAGATATACACATTGGAAAGGAAGAACTAAAAACTGCCTTCATTTGTAGAAGACAGGTAGAAAATCTCTGGGTCTATCTGCAAGCTTACTAAGACCTCAGGACACAATGTCAAACCCACTATACAAAACTCAATCATTTTCCTTACACCAGAAAAAGGAAAAAAAAAAAAAAAAACAAAACCAATCACTCATATTAAGAAAAACAATACCATTTGCAATAGCACCAAAAAAAGTTCAAAGGTCTAAATCTAACAAAGTATGTAAAATTTGTAAGCAGAAAACTACAAAATATTGATGAAAGAAAGTAAATGGAGATACATTTTGCATTTATGGGTTAGAAAATTTTTCCCGTTTATTGTTTAATCTCCAGATACTGTGCATTCCAACCAAAATCCCAGCAAGTCTTTATTTTTGGTAAATACCGACATATCCTAAAATGCATAAAGACAAAGGCACTAGCTAAAACAGTTCTAAAAGGACAAAGAGGACTAGATTTCAAGACTCCTTTTATAAGCTGTAGTAATCAAGGTAGTGTGGCTCTGGTGAGAGACAGGATTAAATCAGGGGATAACACAGTCCCTGAAAAGAGCCATGCGATACAAACAACTGCTGTTTATAAAGGTACAAAGGCAATTCAATAAAGAAAAAAAGACAATCTTTTTAATAACTACATGCTCACATATAACAGCAAACGAACAATAAACCTAGATACTTTTATCTGAGCAGTGAAGGAGACATTTATTTTGGCCAAGAACAGAAGTGGGAGACAACCACACAAATCACTATCTCCACTGATGGGGTTTGGGAGGTTACAGACACAGGAAAAAGGTAATGAGGGGGAGAGACAGTCATGGCTTTCATGGGAATAGGTAGAGTTTTCATGGACTTTGGGTGTAACCTCTTTTGCTGCTGTTATTATTCCTTTCAGTTGCCATCAAAGCAACACTCAATTCTCATGGCACCGCGGAGGGGTTGCGTGTCATTTAGCATGCAGATGGGATTCTAACAAAGAGATCTTGTCTGGCAGTCTCTCTGGTTGGGAGTGACTCTTAAACTTCCCAACATTTGTTTAGCTCACCTGAACAAGCATCTCTATCTTTGAAGCATCTTGTTCCAGCCCAGAGGCCAGCCTAAGAGAAGTTCTAGGAAGGTCATCCCAGGCCCACTGGCTCCCAGGTGCTTGACGAAAGCCCTGGATTCACAGCAAAGATAGCTTTCAATTTCTCAGAAGCAAGACTGAAGCCTGGAGTGTGGGTCTCAAAGTGGAGGTGTCTGTTAACCTCCCAGAAGCGACGCCCCCAGGCAGACACCAGAGATGACAGTCATTCTTTCCCTGATCAGTAGCTTTCTTACTCCCAAGAAGTAGCTCTGTGAGGAATGAGACTGATCAGACCACGATCCGGCGGAGTTGCCAAATCTGTTACCAATTTCTGAGGCTGAGCTGGGTCCTTTTTCCGTTTGGTACTGTGGAACCAACAGCAAGCCTGAGCACTGACTGATAGGGAAGGAGGCTTTTATTCTTTGTCAAGAATAGCAAAACTGGGAGAAAAACGTGCAAATCTACTTCTCCCTAAACACATACTCACAACCGATACAAAAATTAATTTAAAATAGACTGTGGATCTACATATAAAACACAAAACTATGGAAGTTCTAGAAAAAAATATAGGAGAAAATCTATATGCCCTTGGGCTGGGCAATGATGGATTGATTGATTGATTTATGGAACTGGGACCAAACTCACGACCTTGCGTGTAACAGGCAGGTGCTTATGCTACTGAGCTAAACCCCTGGCATTTATTTTAATTTTTATTAGTACATTTTCATAGCATATGATGATGACATTCTATGGGGTGTTGGTACATGTACACAACACATCTTAATTCTTGGGCAATGAGTATTTAAATACAATACATGTTTTTTAAAAACATGCTAAAAAATAGCTGGGTGTAGTGGTACACGCCTATAATTACAATAATTGGGAGGCTGAGGCAGGAAAATCACTGGGCTACATAGTGAATTCAAAGTCAGTCTGAACTACACAGCCAGACCCTGTCTTAAAAAAACAAAAAAGAAAAAGGATTTTATTGAAACTTAAAACTGCTCTGAGGATGGACGGTGGTGGTACGTGCCTGTAATCCCAGCATTAGGGAGGCTGAAGCAGGAGGATCACAATGAGTTCAAGGCCAGCCTGGGCTAGCAAGTGAGATCAAGGCCAGCCAGAACTGCATAGTGAAACCCTGTCTCAAAAAGACAAAAAACAAAAACCAAAACAAACCAAAAACCAAAATCCCCTCAAAACAACTGCTTTGAGAAAGAGACTATTAAGAGAATGAGAAAAGGCCAGGCACAGTGATGCATGCCTGTAATCACAAGCTGATGCAGGAGGATTGCCATGAGTTTGAGGCCAGCTTGGGCTACATATTGAGACCTACTCTTTGGGGGAAAAAAAAGTAAAAGAAAAAGAATGAGAAAAGCTACAGACTATGAAAAAATATCTGAAAATCATATATCTGATAAAGAATTTCTATACAAAAAAATCTTAAGTAATAGGAAAGTATAATTTAGGAATAATATATATCTGGCAAATAATCATATGAAAGAAAAGCTCAACATAATTTCCAACCAAGGAAAAGGCTAATTCAAACAATGAGATACTATTTTATGTATGCATGTATATGTATATGTGTATGTATATGTATGTGTATGTGTATATGTGTATCTATCTGTACATATATGCTAAAATTTTAAAAATAACAATGCCAAATACTGGTAGCAGAGTGTGCTGAAGACAAAATAAATACAATGGAAAAGAAAAAAAGCTCTAGCCAGAAAGCAAATGAACTTGATTTGGAAAATACTGGCTGAGAACTTCCTCAGTACCTCGGTGCTGATGAACTTGATAAGGTGTTAGTATTTTCATGTTCATGGCAGCACTATTCAAAATAGCTAAGACATGGCAACAACTCCAGCGTCCATCACAGCTGACTGGCTGAACAAAGTAGTCCACACATACAGTGGGACACTATTCAGCCTTGAAAAGGAAGGAATACATGTTAAATGTGAGTGAATCGTGATCAAGACAGTACACTCCGTGACATAAGGCAGTCAGAGGACAAACACTCTGTCAAACATCACTCACATGACACACCTGAAACAGGTCAGTGCTTAGAGACGGAGAATAGACCAGTGGCTGCCAGGGGTGGGGAATGAGGAGTTTGTGTTTAATGGGCACAGAGTTTAATTTTGTAGGATGAAGACTTCTGGAGATGGTATTGGATGCCAAGGATGTGACTATACTTTGAAAGTTAAGATGGTAAATCTTATATGTATTTTACCATAACAAAAACAATGCCACAGGAGGACTGTGGTGAGTTCACAATGTAGCCTGGGCTACATTGTGAGACCATGCTTCAGAAAACCAAAAACCAAAAACCAAAACAAAAAATCACCTAAATCAACCAAAAACTATTTGTGTTATTAATTTACAAATAAATAAATGGTTACTGGGGCTAGGGATTTAGCTCAGTGGCATAATCCCTTGCCTGGCAGGCACCAGTTGTGAGCTCAATCCCTGGTACCAATAAGAAATAAACGGTTATTAAGTATTAAAAGAAGACAGCGGAGGGGAAAAGTAAGGCTGCTTGCACTTGGGAGCTCAGTCTTGTGGAAGTGAGGGGTAATGATCTGCCGCACAATCAGAAGAATTACAATAGAGCATGTGGGTACGTGCCATGAATAAACTGTGCTTTAGGAGCCCAAGGTGGACCCGGTTGTCATGGAGGCAGGGTTGTCATGTGGGCACGGGCTGCAGAGCTGGCCCGCTGGCTCCGACTCCTGCCTCTGCTACTCATTAGCCATGTGACCTTCTAGGAAGTGCAGATGCCTCTGTGGCCCTGCAGTGCTTGTCCTGCACAGGAGTCCTGAGGGGCTCCCTGGGTCAACACATAGAAAATACCCACAATGCTGCCTGACGCATCTTAAATAGGAGAAAAATGGCTTTTTTTTTTGGATGTGTGTCATTAGGCCAAAAGTCACTACTGAGATACATGTGATGAAGAGGAAGAAGTACGGGGACAGAACACCAACGGATTGAATATTGTGGTATGCAGACAAGAGACACTTTGGGTCCTTGGTTACTGCACCGAGTGGTGAACCAATCTGGATGTATTACACACACACACACACACACACACACACACACCACGTGCAGTGGCACATGCCTGTAGTTCCAGCTATTTCGGAAGCTGAGGCAGGTGCACTGCAAGTCTGAGCAGGGGCCACTTCTGCAAGTTTGAGCAGGGGCCACTTAACTAAGATCATGTCTCAAAATAAAATGTAAAGACGGCTGGAGACGTGGTTCAGTGGCAGAGTACCATTGGGTTCGATCAGTTTGGCAACCTTCTCATTGTGATTTCAATTGTAGGTTTTAATGTCTAGAACCTTTATTTGATTCTTTTACCAAATTTCTCTTTTTGTGTGGTACTATGTTTCCTTATGGCTTCTATTCTTCAACTTTCTAATATATTTAAGCATGGTTGATATGAAGTCTTTCTCTTTATCCAGCTTCCAATTCTGGTAGATAATCCTCAGGCTTGTAGGATAATTGTCTCAAGTGTTTGAATTCTGGCTTGTGAACATATTTCTAGTGGCCCTTCTACCCCGGGAGCTTCCTGCATCAGTGAGTTTAAGTTATGAGCTCCAAGCCGTACAGATTCAAATTTAGACTTCAAGTCTCACCTGGCCCTTTTCTTTTCTTACAGAGGATTTTTACTCCCCCCCCCACCCCGAAAGTCCAAGGTGGAGACACTCTTATTACCTTGCTGGATGTAGGTGTAATTTTAAAATATTCCATTTTCACCAAGAAGAGCCTCATGTTGTGAGCCTCAGTTTTAGGGAGGGGTCTCAATATGATTGCTCTACTTACATAAGGGTAGGTACTTGTCTCTTGTTCCTGTGTAGGGATTACAGGAATTGTATGCCCAGTGATGGCAAACCTTTTAGAGACAAGGGCTAAACTGCAACCTAAAACTCACATATTTATCTCCCCGTGCCAGCATTACAATTAAACCTGAATATTGAGGCTTCAGTTTAGAAAAATAACTCCATATTGACAACTTTTGTATTACAAGAAAAACGTAGTAGCTGGATGTGGTGGCACACACCTGTAATCCCAGCACTTGGGAGGCTGAGGCAGAAGGATCGATGCGAGTCTGATGCCAGCTTGGCCTACAGAGTGAGTTCAAGGGTGAGACCTTGTCTCAAAACATCTCCAAAAAACCAAAACCTAGAAACCTCCACAATTATATGCAGGCCACACTTTTGTCACCACTGCTGCAGGCTATCAGGGATATTAGGTTTCTATTTTCTATGAGCCTTATTCCACCATCCCCATTTTCACCCCTGGGGTGCCATGGTCTCTTATGGCTCTGGGTTGACTTCTTACTAAATGTCTGCCTTCTATTATTTCTTAGTGCAGCTAAGCATTGACTTCGTTCATCCCCTGACCCCTTCCTTTTCTGGCGGAAATGGGGCTTGAATCCCAGACCTCTGCACTGAGCTACATGCCCAACTCTTTTTTTTTTTTTTTTTTTTTTTTACACGCCCAACTCTTTAAAAGCTTTTTTTTTTTTTTAATTTTGAGATAGGGTCTCCCTAAGTTGCTACGTTGGTCAGGCTGGGCTTGAATTTGCAGTCTTCCTGCTTCAGCCTCCTAGAGTACTAAGGTTATAGGTACCCTCAAGGCTTTAATGGTTATTCAGCTTACAGTATTTCCTGAACTGAAATTAATCCATAAAGAAATCTAATTGAAAAACTCTATTCGTGTACATGATCATATAACTAGGTAACTCTATGACAGGGATCATAAGTAGCAGGTCTTCTGGACATGGATTTCAGTGTTTTATAAGAAAATGTTTAGTAGGTGGCATATACTTTTTCATATAAGTAGAACAAAATAACGAGAAGATATAAAACAGAAAACTTACCAGGCTGGGTTTGATCCCTATGCTTTCCGCTGCTTCAAATGCCAACAACAGATTCCGTTTCTAGGTTAAGGAGACAGAGAGACTGGAATTATTAACTTTAAAACGATTAACTTTTACTAGAAAAAGAGAACCAACTGATGTTTCCTTATGGAGTTTCCACTACAGTAAGTCTTCGACCTATGGACATTCGAGTCCTGGGCCTCCAAGGTGTACCGTGTGGGGCCTTGCTGCCTACAAATGAATCCAAGCTGTGAATGTTCTCCTGGAATGGAACTCATCCGTAAGTCTCTGACCTACTGCGTTATATAACAAGGAGTAAGTCAACAATGGGAACAATGGTCTCAGTATAAGGAGAAAAAGATTAAAGGGCTACAATTGTCACTAAAAACAACATTGGTGACTGTCATCTATCAGAGATAATTTTTAATTTTTGTTTTTTTGAGACAGAGTCCTGCTATGTAGCTCGGGCTGGTCTAGGAACGCATAGGAATCCTCTTGCCTCAGGCTCCTGAGTGCTGGGATTATAGGCAAGAGCCACTATGTTCGACTTCAAAGACAAATTTTTGTTTTTCTGGTTATTTTTGGCTTCGTCAAGATTTATGACATCTACATTCTGTTATGTAAGAAGTGATTGAATCATGGTGCTGTATCAAAGAAAGTTATCAAAGCTATATACATTCATACACACACACACACATATACACACGTGCACACTGAAGTGTAACCAAATGAAAAATGGTTCCTGCTCTTAATCCGGGTCCTTGTGAGAATCAGTTTTTAATTTCTCTTTGCTTCTTTTGGTGATTACACCTCAGTATCTCTGTAGCATGCTTACATCACTAATTTTTTTTTTTTTTTTTTGAGACGGGCAATCCCTATGCAGTTTGGGCTGGCCTTAAATTCACCACGTAGCCCAGGCAGGTCTTGAACTTGTAGAGCTCCTCCTGCTGGGGCCTCCAGAATGATGGGATTACAAGCATGCACCACCATGCCCGGCACACCACTTCTTGAGTTCTAAAATGGAGGCTTTATGTACTGACTTCCTCCCAAAACCACAGGGGGACTGAGATACTAGGAGCCTCTGTCCTCCCTTTAAAATCATGGATCTAATTATAGTTCCTGCACTGCTATTGTATGTGTGACCTTCTTTACAGTTCCTGAACTTCCGGTGCCATTGATCATGGACAGAGCTTCCTTGATCCACTTTGTGAAATATTAGCACTATCTCTTCTCCTTTTTCCTCTACAGTGACCAGTTCTGCACTTAAGTTGTTAAAACTTAGAACACCTGCTTCCTTTCCTAAGGCGACATTTTAGTTGTCAGTGTTCTCATCCTAGGGTGATCTAGAAGACAGAAACAATAAACATTTACCCAGCAGTGAGCTACAATTCCATCTCCTCTGAAGTCCCAAAGCCGCAATTCCGGCCACTCAAAGGCTTTCCTTTGGGTTACTCTCCCCGTTGCCAAAATCACAACACATTTTAGTACGTTCCAGAATGGGACGGCCTTTCTTCAAAAGTCTGTCTGTTCCCTACAGCTTCTGCTTATTTTGGCTTTTTCTTGTGGAGAACAACTTTATGTCTATCATCAGACCTCTCACTCAGTGCCAGTGGCTCACCCATCAGGATATTCTCCTTGTAGCCCACAGACTTTTTGTTCTAATGAGAGGAGTCTGCTTCATACTTGGACAGAGACTTCCCTGTGAAGCTTCTTATTTTATTATTATTATTATTATTTTTTCTTTTTCCTACCCTCAGGCTCTTGTTAAAAATTTTATGAGTACCTGTTTGCAGTACACAATGATCACATCCTCACTGTGCGGAGTTGGTGCATGCATGAAACACAGCTCAATTCTTCCCCTTCCCACTCGCCCCGCTCTTTCTGCCAGCATCAGAGCTGTTTATTTAGAAGTCCTTATAAAGTCAGTTATCATACACACAGATTAACCACCAGACCAACAGGCCAAAAACCAGACAAAACCCAGAAGACAGTGACCCTAAAGCAAGGTACACTTTAGATACATTGTCCATGCTGAATTCCAGTAATTCTCCCCCTCTCTCTTTTCCTATTACCTGTGCTTTATTTTGTACTTCATTTATATATTTTTTCATATGACAGAAACTACATGATGTTTATGTTTGTGTGTCTGATTTTTCAGCTTATATTATGGTCTGGAGGGGGACCCATTTTCCTACAAATGACCCAGATTTTTTTTTTTCTCATTTTGTTTACTTTTTAAAATTAGCACATATTTGTTATCCGTAAGGATCCCATTCCTCATAGGAAATTTGTAACTGTATATAATACATCTTCATTCTTTTTTCTATTTTTTCCTTTTACTCTTTTCTCCCCTTTTCCTTTCCTTTCCTTCCCCCTCCCACGCCTAAAGGGCTTTTAAAGGCATCTTTGTAGAACTTCCTTTAAGATGTCCAAAAATGTGGAGGGGAAAAGCTAGTCACAAAGCAGTGTTAACAATATGACCTGTCGGTTTAAAAATGTACACATACGGAAGAGGGGTGCAGCTCAGCAGAACTTGTGCTTAGTAGGCCTGAGGCCCTGGGTTAAGTTCCCAACAATCCCCCCAAAATGTACATGCATAAATCCAAATGACTCAAATTTACCCTTCTTTATGAGAGTGCAGTACTGCACTGAGTATAAGTGCATTTTACTTATTCATCTGTTGATGGACATACAGGCTGTCCCCAGCAGTCAGCTATTATGAACTGCACTGCTATAAACATGGGTGTGCGTGCATCACCCGATATGGTATGTCTAACACTTTCAGGAAGACAGCTAGAAGGGATATACCTGGGTCAAATGAAATTGCTACTTTTAGTTTTTTGAGAAATCTCATGCTGATTCCTATAGCAGAGGTACCAGTTTACATGCCCACCAACAATGGAATATGGCTCTTTTTTCCTCACAGTCTCTCTGGTATTTGTTATTAATTTTTTAAGACAGCCATTTTTTTTGGAGTGAGGTGGAATCTCAGTGTTGTTTCACTTTGCATTTCTCAGATGGCCATCAATGTTGAATACTTTTATCTTGTATTTATTGGCCATTTGTTCTTCTTTGTATAAGAATTGTCTGTTTGTTTCAGATGCCTCCTCCCCTTTTCTTGTCTTTTTCTGGTTAAGACAGGATCTTGCTATGTAGTTCAGGCTGAACTCATTTTGCAGCTCAAGCTGGACTTGAACTCCCAGCAGTCCTCCTGCCTCAGCCTCCTGCGAGCTGGGATTACAGGCATGGATGCTCATGTTGTGACTGAGTCTTTAATTTGGGTGGGGGCGTTAATTTTTTGAATTCGTTATACACCCTAGATATTAGTTCTCTATCTGAGGAGCAGCAGGGAAATTTTTTCCCGTTCTGTAGGTTGTCTCTTAACGCTGCTGATGGCTTCTTTTGTTGTGTAGAAGCTTTTTAATTTAATGTGATCCTGTTACTTCCTGTGTAACTGGAGTTCTGTCCAGACAGTCTGCCTACACCTAGGTCTTTGATGTTTTACCTATTCTGTCTTTCAGTAGATTAAGTATTTCTGTTCTAATGTGTAGATCTCTGACTGATTTTGGCTTTGGTTCAGTGCATGGTGAGAGACGTGGGTCTAGATTCAATCTTCAGCACGTAGGTCTCCAATTTTCCCAGCACCATCTGTTTCTACCCTCAAGTTCATATCATCATTCAACAAAATCCTTTATGCCCAGAGCCCTCCACACCTTATATCAACTTTTAAAATTATACTCCTCTCTCAACTGAGTACAGTCTTAGGTTTCCCCCTTGAGAAAGGATGCATTTAAGGAAACACTTTCTGCATTAATTTCTACGTATTTCTGTTTTCTCATTCTACTTGTCTAACAGTGTGGCTGGACAGAGAATTCTATAATGAAAATTTTCCTTACAAGTTAATAGCACTACTGCACAGTCATTCAGCCCTGGTTTGTAGCTTCTTTTCAAATTCTTTCTGGCTATTCTCTGACATTTCTTTGGACAGATGGATTTAAGAATCATTTGGCCAAGCCCCCCACCTCCATAATTCATTTCAAAACCATCAGGACTTATTAAAATTTAAATTGGATATTAAGTGTAATTGGGAGACAAAAATGTTCTTCCATGTATTCATGTTTTATGTCCTTCAATAAAAATTTGTATTTTATACATAACATGGGCCTAGTGGTGCACACCTACAATCCTGTGATAGTTGTGATATAATAACAGACCACCACGGGGGAAAAAAGACAAAAGAAATCCTAGACCCTTAAACTGTTACTCATTAAAAGCATAATTTATTTTTTTCTGAGACAATCAGGGACTTGAAAGCAGTTTTTGCTAAAACCCATGACTTGACATGAGTCTAAGAATGCTTGTTAAGTAACTAAAAGTAGAACAATGTCAAATTCTTTGCATGTAAGTTGTTAGTCATTTAGAGAATGTCTGACAAAAGCTGGCAGGACAAAATTTACCTTGTCTATCTCATTTCCCGTAAAGGTGGAAGACACCAAGATAAGCACAACTGAAGTAATTTCTAGGATTCAGAGGGACATCTGATCACCAGCCTTTCTTTACGGGTCCAGCTCCAGGCCTGGTCCCTAAAGCCATGCCTGGAAGTCTCCAGCCATTGCCTTGAATTGGTATTCACCTAAGTCCCAGGAGAAAAGGCTCACGAGACTGAAACCACCACAGAGTCAATCATTTTATGAGAAGGGAACTGCTCCTTAAGCCATCAGGATTTCTCCAGAGCTACAAACCAGGACGGAGAGAACAGTGGCTGGGGCGCTGGTCTACTCCAGCCAATCCTAAAGGCGGCCCCAGCTCCTGTGGGCGCAGGTCTGGTCCTCTTCATCAAAGTCGCCCTCTCCAGCTACTATTCAAGTGGGGGTCTTTTCCCGCTTTGCCTCTTACTTCCCAAGAAAGCTTTTCCCTGCAAAGCTGTGGTTTAGTTTTTAATTCCCATTATCACTAGAACAAGGACCCAAGGTAACTAGGCACAGACAGTCCTAGCTACACCCTAGCTCAGGGTGTAACTGTGAGGTTAAAACAGATCTTTAAAAATAAGACTTTTTTAA